CAGGATGGACATCCACACCAGGATGGACATCTGATCAGGATGGGCACATCCGCACCAGGATGGACATCTGAGCAGGATGGACATCTGACCACAACGGGCATCCACACCAGGATGCCAATCTGCTCGAAAAGACCTTTCAATCACCGCCCCGCGGATCTCCCACCCCGCGGATCTCCCACCCCGCGGGATCTCGGGGCTCACACCTCACGCCTCGCGGGTGCCGCTGTCCCCTGCGTGTCCCACAGTGTCCCCATCCCCACAGCAGACAGCAAGTGGGGTCCTTGGAACCACTGGAGCCTGTGCTCCAAGACCTGCGACACCGGCTGGCAGCGGCGCTTCCGCATGTGCGAGGGCACCGGAGTGCAGGGCTACCCCTGCGAGGGCACCGGCGAGGAGGTCAAGACCTGCAACGAGAAGAAGTGCCCAGGTACGGGGACAGTGCCAGCCGGTGTCCCCAGAGCTCGGTGACACCCCGAATCCCCGAATTTTGGGTGGCGCTGATCCCCCGTTTTGCTCCCCCAGCCTACCACGAGATGTGCAAGGATGAGTACGGGATGATGATGACCTGGAAGAAAACGGCTGCGGGGGAGATCATCTACAACAAATGTCCCCCCAACGCCACAGGTGACACTGGGTGGCCCCCGGCTGGGAGGGGGGCTGGGGGTGGGGGGTGGCGTTGGGGTGGAGAACCTCCAAACCCGGGGTGGGGGGCATGAGGGACAAGTGGCCCAAACCCCTCTGACCCAGAGTAAGGGGTCGTGGGTGGCATTGGGGTTGAGAACTCCCCAAATCCAGAGGCAAAGGGTGTCATTGGGGTCAGAAACTCCCAAATCTCAGGGACAGAGGGTGACATTGTGGTCAGGGGCCCCCAAATCCTGGATCAGAGGGTGGCATTAGGATCGGGAACCCCCAAACCCCAGGGGCAGAGGGTGGCATTGGGACTGCACGCTCCCAAATCCTGGAGTAGAGGGTGTCATTGGGGTCAAGCCACCTGGAGCGGGGCAGGGACTGTGGGTAGTATTGGGGTCAGGAACCCCCAAATCCTGGAGCAGAGGGTGGCATTGGGATCRRGAACCCCCAAATCCTGGAGCAGAGGGTGGCATTGGGATCGGGAACCCCCAAATCCCAGGGCAGAGGGTGACATTGAGGCCAAAGGCCCCCAAATCCCAGGAACAGAGGATGGCATTGGGGTCAGGAACCCCCAAATCCTGGAGCAGAGGATGGCTTTGGGGTGAAACCCCAAAACCCCAGGAGTAGAAGGTGGCACTGGGGTCAAACCCCCCCAAACCCCCCAGCCTGGAGCAGATCAGGGGGACGGTGGGTGACATCGGGGACACGGAGGGTGACCCCAGTGCCGGCCCCAACCCCAAATTTCCGTGGCAGGGTCCGCCAGCCGCCGGTGCCTGCTGAGCCCCCATGGGGTGGCCTATTGGGGTGTGCCCAGCTTCGCCCGCTGCATCTCCCACGAGTACCGATACTTGCATCTCTCAGTAGGTGCCCGCTCCTGTCCCCTGTCCCTGTCCCTGTCCC